GGGGGGGCGGTTATGTGGGCGGGGGTCGTATTGTCTCTGCCCGTCACTGTCTTCCACCGATCCCAGCCCACCTCTCCTCCTTTACCGCCCTGGTCGTGCCTTCACTTGCAAAAACGGAGACTCCGGTCCTTGTATCTTAATTTCCAGTCTCAGACCAGCAGGAAACAATGGACTGGTCAAGGCAAGGGAGAAGGGCCTGGTTCTTGGGGCTGCCTCCTGTGTGTGTGCATTGAGGAGGGCCATGAAAAGGCTCCATGCCACTTTCTCTACTGCCTTGAGCTCTGACCACCAGTGTGTCAATCACATATTGACGCATTGAGCACCGTCCTTGATTTCACTCACCTCCTAACATCTCTTCATCATAGTCTTAACAACCACGTGTGTAACATTTAATCCTTTAAAAATGTTGAAAAGGCACCACTTTTGACAATGTGCTTGGGGATACAATGAGTGGCCCCAACCTCACAACTTCCTGAAGGTCAGGAACAGCACTGCTCTACAGAAAGATAATGGGAGCCACAACTATAATTTTAAGTTTTCTAGTGGCCATCTTTATTTTTTTATTTTTATTTTTGGTGAGGAAGATCAGCCCTGGGCTAACATCCGATGCCAATCCTCCTCTTTTTTTGCTGAGGAAGACTGGCCCTGGGCTAACATCCATGTCCATCTTCCTCTACTTTATATGGGACACCGCCACAGCATGGCTTGACAAGCTGTGCCTCGGTGCGTGCCCGGGATCTGAACCCTGGGCTGCCGCAGCAGAGCACGCGCACTTAACCACTACGCCACCAGGCTGGCCCCTTTAGTGGCCATCTTTTAAAAAGTAAAAAGAAACAGATGATTTTAATAAAATATACATATATATTTTTTTGCTGAGGAAGATTAGCCCCGAGCTAACATCTGTGCCCATCTTCCTCTACTTTATATGTGGGTCGCCCCCACAACGTGGCTGACAAGTGGTGTTTGCCCGCGCCCGGGATCCGAACCCATGAACCTGGACTGCCAAAGTGTAAGGCGCCAAACTTAACCACGACACCATGACACCACGGAGCTGGCCCCTAATAAAATATTTTATTTGACCCAATGTACCCAAAATATTGTCATTTCAACATGTAATCAATATAAAAAATTCTTAATGAACTATTTCACATTCTTTTTTTTTTGTACTAAGTCTTTGAAATCTGGTGTGTATTTTATACTTACAACATATCTCAATTCTGGTCAGTCTCCTTGCAAGGGCTCAAAAGCCACACGTGGCTAATGGCTCCTATTGTGGACGGCGCCAGAAATCTGGGTCTTATCCTAGCAGCGGACAGCCCCTTTCTCTCTCTGGGTCTCAGAGGGAAAACAAGCACCCTTGGCTCTGAAATACTTTGTCTAGGTTTCCTCTCTGAGCCTACAGGAAGAGGTCCCTGCTGTTTGTGGGGATAGGCCAATAATGAAGGCTCTTGATCCCCAAAACAGAGATGCTCAGAACCTCTTAGAAGCAGCCAGCAGCGGGGCCGCCATCTCGGTGAGGGTCATCGCTAACATCGCAGCCAACCTGATTGCCTTCCTGGCTGTGCTGGCCTTCATCAACGCTGCCCTCTCCTGGCTGGGGGACTTGGTGGGCCTCCAGGGCCTCAGCTTCCAGGTGCAGTTGGGCTGCCCCGCGTGACCTGTGGAGGGGCGGCCCCGGGGGGGCAGTGGGGGGTGGACATCCAGCAGAGCCCGGGACAGCCCTGGTCCCAGCAGCTCCTCTTGCCTCGTGTCTCAGCTCATCTTCTCCTACACCCTGCGGCCTGTGGCCTTCTTAATGGGCGTGGCCTGGGAGGACTGCCCGGTGGTGGCTGAGCTGCTGGGCATCAAGCTGTTTCTGAACGAGTTTGTGGCCTACCAGGGGCTCTCCCAGTACAAGCAGCGCCGCCTCGCAGGGGCTGAAGAGTGGGTCGGCGCCAAGAAGCAGTGGATCTCTGTGAGTGTCCCGGTCCTCCCTATAGCGGCGGAGTGACACAGTGCTCCTGAGGCCCCCTGGCAGCTGCTCTCCTGGGTCCCTGGGCCTGGCTGAGACACGCTGAGGTGGCACTCGACCTCCCATACCCTACTGCCCTGGGGACAAGACTGCTTCCGGCTTCACTGCCACCCTCCTCGAGGCCTCTTAGGAGGCTGAGTTGTGGGGAAAGAGCCTTGTTGGAGATATCTGAGGTTTAGCTGTAGATGGGCCACCATCCTGTGTGGCCTTGGGCCAGCCACTGCACCTTGCCTCTCCTGTAGAAAACCCGGCGTAATACCTGCCACGTCCACCCCAGAGGAGTAGATGCAAGCATCCAGCGAGCCGAGAGAGAGAAACAGGGCGCCCTCCCCACATCCACTGTCAGTGTACTGGGTGCAGTGCAGTGACGAGGCTGGCTCTTTCTGTTAAACTTTATTTAAAAAAACTATAAAAGCTCTATAAAACAAACCTTTCTAGAGAATAAAAGAATAAAAGCTCTATGTAACGTCCTTGAGAAAGAAAAAGTTACTCGTCATCTCACCATCCTAAAATACCCGCTATTGTTGTTTCATACATTTTTTTCTGCTCTTTTTAAGCCAGAGTTTACATAGCTGTCAGTATAGTATTCATAGTGTATTGTAGCCAGCTTTTTCCCACCTACTGTTATAACATAAGCATCATTTTTGATACATGTATCCTATATGGATAATGGGTAATTCAAGTAAATTCCATTATTTGGCTGTTATGCACAATGCTGAAATGAATAGCTTTGTGTGCAGAACTTTTCCCTCCTCTCGGGTCATTTCCTCAGGAGCTCTCCCCTATGTGGGATGACTAAATCACGTGCACGAATCCTTGTGTGGCTGCTGCCAGGAACTTTCCCAGAGGGTTGCAGCAACTGAAATCGCCCCCTGCTGTGCCTGTGAGGGGGAATGTCACTGCACTCTGACCAGCACTGAGTAGCCGCTTCAAAAAAAAAGTTTTACTACTTTAACAGGCAAATAATAGCTCATTGTTTTAATTTGTGTTTCTTGGGTTACTAGGAACTTTTAACATGAAATATTTTTTCTTGTCTTTTAAACTATTTTTTAAATTGTAAAAGAATGTACTCTATTTTTTTCAAAAAATGTTTGTATGGGGGGCCAGCCCATGGCCTAGTGATTAAGTTCAGCGTGCTCCACTTTGGTGGCCCAGGTTCAGATCACAGGCGCAGACCTACGCCACTCCTCGGTGGCCATGCTGTGGTGGCAACCCACATACAATGTAGAGGAAGATTGGCACAGATGTCAGCTCAGGGTGAATCTTCCTCAAGCAAAAAGAGGAAGATTGGCAATAGATGTTTCAGGGTGAATCTTCTTCAGCAAGAAAAAAAAAAAAAGTTTGTGTGAGATAAAAAGTACAGGTCTCCCCTTGCTCCTCATCCTCAGCTCCAGTCTCGCCCTCTCCTCTAGAGAAAGTGGATGGTATGCTCCTTCAGGATCTTTTTTTATGAACTTCATTTCTTCAGCAAGAATTTGTTGAGACCTCTGAGATGCCAGGCACTCTGCTAGGTACCAGTGATAAAAAGGGCAATTAGACAGACGTGGTCCCTGGGGTCCTGGAGCTTACATCTACCTAGTGAAAGACACAGGCAAAACTCAAGAAAGCAAAGGAATAAAACATAAAATAACCACAATTCATGGTAAGTTCTATGAAGGAAACAAGAGGAAACAGGGAGGGAGTCTTGGTTGGGCTGGTCAGAAAAGGTCCCCTGAGGTGTGGCATTTAGGCCCAGACTTGGACAGAGGAGAAGGAGCCAGGAGAAGCTGGGAAAGCATTCCAGGCAAAGAAAGAGGCACGTGCAAAGGCCCTGAGGTTGAAAAGCACTTGTGTGGAGGACTGATTGGAGAACAGTGCACTTGGAGCAGGTGATAATCGTGAAAGGGAGTGGCACAGGCCAAGGAGCAGTAGGAAGTTCCGAAGATTTGACATTTAGCGTTTTAATATTACTCAAGCTGCTGTGTGGAGGGTGATTGTAGGTGAGCAAGCAGGGTGCAGGTACCTTAATATTTTCTCCATCAATTTGTATAAACTATTGCTGTTTTAAGACATTCACCCCTTTCAGTTACATTTTCTACATATGTTTTTCCTAGTCTTTTTTTTCCCCTTCATTTTGTATTCAGGGATTTTTCTTTTAATACAAATTTGACCCCAAATCTTTTCCTTTGTGATTTCTTCTATTATTGCTAAACTTAGAAAGCTATGTCCATTCCAGAAATCTGCAGTTAAATTCCTGAAACAATATAGGTAAGTAGTTAAAAGCATGAACTTTGGAGTCAGTTAGAACTGAGTTCAAACTCTGACACAGCTGCCTTCTTGCTGTGTGAACTTCCTCAGTTACTTAACCTCTCTGAGCCTTAGTTTGCTCCTCTCCAAAATGAGAGTAATAATACTACCTTGTAATTATAGTAATTATTATCCTATATTTTCTGTTATTTGATGTTTAAAATATTAATATTTATCTGCTTCAATGATTTAGAATTAACTTTTTATATGGTGAGGTATTTTTTTCCCCAAGTTGTTCCATTTTGGCTCTTAACACTTCCTTCTGAGAAACTGAACAACTGTTTGGAGCAAAAGGGAAGGAGAATTGCCTTGCTTAAATACCTACTCTCTGCCCAGTACTTCCTGTACATTATATGATCCTTATGAGGGTCCTTCCCGGCGGCACTGTGATTCCCACATTCCAGATGGAGAAACCCAAAGAGGCTGTTGACTGGCTCAGCCTGGTCATGGGTGGGGACAAGTCTGGAACCCAAGTTGGTTGGGCTCAAACTCCCTTGCTCTGCTCACCAGGCCACACTGCCTCCACGCTGTGTGACAGTGCTCTCAGAGGGCTCTCAGCCTGGGAGCATCTCAGGAAGCAGAAGTGCAGGACTGCAGAGTGCGGGGAAGGGTCACTCTCGCAAACGCCCCTGGGTACGCAGCTTAGAGGGGCCCAGTGACAGGATGGGGCAAGCCTGCATCAGACCCAGAGAGGCTGGTAATGAGGATAAGGGGGTGAGGGGCAGTGGGGCTGTGGTTTCGAGGTGACACAGCTGGAGCTGACAGAGGTGGGCGTGCAAGGCCAGGGAGGGGCAGCACTGAGCCTTTCAAAGGCCAAAGACACATGGGAAGTGGGTGAGATTAATTAATAATTTAATAATAATGGTTAATTAAGTGGGTGAGATGAGAGGGGAGGGAAGCCCCTCCTCACTTGTCTTCTGTATTTTCAGGTCAGGGCAGAAATCCTCACGACGTTTGCCCTCTGTGGCTTCGCCAACTTCAGCTCCATCGGGATCATGCTGGGAGGCCTGAGTGAGTCCTGTGGGGCCTCCCCAGCACCCTGGAGAGGTGGGAACCTGGACTCTGGTGCCGCCTCTGAAACCACCTCCTGGAGATCTGTAGGCCTCAGTTGTCCCATTTGTCCAAGGCAGGGTCTGAACAAGATGGCCATGGGGGGCCGGCCCTGTGGCTTGGTGGTTAAGTGCACGCGCTGCGATGCTGGCGGCCCGGGTTCGGATCCCGGGTGCGCATCGAGGCACCACTTCTCTGTCCATCCTGAGGCCGAGTCCCACATACAGCAACTAGAAGGGTGTGCAGCTATGGCATACAACTATCTACTGGGGCTTTGGGGGCAAAAAATAAAATAAATAAAATCTTTAAAAAAGATGGCCATGGCAGTTCCCCCCAGCCCTGGACTTCCACGGCTTCTCTGCTGCCAGGGGTGGCCCAGGAGGCGCGCACCTTGGCCTTGCAGGCCACCCCTGGCTCAGGGTCTGGGGAGGGATAGGAGGCGGGGGGCTGGCCTGTCCCCTGAGGCTTCGGCCTGCCAGTTCCCACACCCACAACGGGCAGGCGGGCCTGGTGGGGCCTAGTGGGGAAGGCTCCGCATAGATCTCAGCTCTTTACAAAACCATCTCCACTCTGCGCAGCCCCCTGGCCGGTGCTGTAACCATCCCATTCCACAGAGAGGGGAACTGAATCTTGGAGTAGTGAAGTGATGGCCCAAGTCACTTGGCTAGTAGGTGCCTGAGCCTGTATTTAATCCCAGGTCCCCATGACTCCAAACTCACGTTCTTTTCCTACATCTACCACTGCTGGTGTGTGGGGAGGCTGCGGGTGCTCCCTAAGGGCCGAGTCAAGCCAAGGAGGACCCCCAAACTCAGCAAATGATCAGGAGGACAGCATCCATCCCTCTGGCCCCCAGAAGAGGAAGGGGAGTGGGCAGATGCAGGCAGAGGCCCAGGGCACAGGCGGAGAGGCGTGCGGGTTCCTGGCCCTGAGCACTCCTGTCCTCTTGCAGCCTCCATGGTCCCCCAACGGAAGAGCGACTTCTCCCAGGTCGTGCTCCGGGCGCTCTGCACCGGGGCCTGCGTGTCCCTGGTGAACGCCTGCGTGGCAGGTGAGTGCAGGCCTGGCGGGCTCAGGACTCACAACCCTGATTCTCTAGCTGGCCTTGGTCCAGGGCCAGGTGCAGGGCTCTGGGCTCTGGAAGTCCTTGGGCTGGGTGGGGAAGAGAGTGGGGGACAGGCCCCGCCCACCAGCGCTTTCCCTGCACAGGGATCCTGTACATGCCCAGGGGGGCTGAGGTCAACTGCACAACCCTGCTGAACACGATCCTCAGCAGCAGCAGCTTTGAGGTGTACCAGTGCTGTCAGGAGGCCTTTCAGAGGTGAGGCCCTGGGCCATGGGGCTACGGGGCACTGACAGGGATGGGGTGCAGAAGGCCTGAGAGCCTGGCGGAGGCCTTGGCACCAGGGCGAGGGGTAGAAATGTTATAGCTGTGGCTGATGGGGCCAGGGGAGCAGGATGTGGGGCTTGAGGACCAAACTTGGGGAGAAAGGGTGGACCAGAGACATGGAGCAACTTTCCCAGAGTTGCACAGCCTTTAGTGGCTCGCAGAGCCAGGACTAAAGCTCAGCCTTTGCTTCTTTTCAGCATCAGCCTGGAGTTCAGCGCAGAGGCCCTGGACAACTGCTGTCAATTTTACAACAACACGATCTGTGCATACAACCACAACCCCGCATAGCCGGGACAGAACTCTGTGCCTCCCCAGGAAGCGTCTGTCCCTGCCTTTCTCTCTCCAGCACTCTCCTCTGGGAGGCCACAGGGCTCAGACCCACCTCAGTCACACAACTGGGGAGGAGGGATGGGGGGAATGGGCAGAGACTGAGTGAGTGTAAGTAAATGAAGGCTGCCCCCATCCCTTGCCCCCTTTCTGACCCCCCATTTCCTGCCCCGCAAGATGTGAACTCTCAGGGTCCCCTCCGCCTCCTCTCCTCTCCCCTCCACATCCAAACTTCTTCTTTACTCCTCCCCACTCGGGTCTCTCACGTGCACCTTCCCTTCACGCCTGGCACTTCAGCCGCCTCCTTCCAGCCACTTGAATCTTGCTATGGCTTACCCCTGCCAGACAGACGGTTTCTCCTGGTGACCCCCTTCCTCTGCTTTCAGAGACACTCCCACTGCCTTCCCCCATAGCACTTCCCAAACTGGTGTCCTGTGGAACACTGTCCCACGGGTGTTCAGAAGGGAGAGACACAAGTTTATTTTCTCACAGTTCTGGAGGCTGGAAATCCAAGATCAGGGCACCAACATGGTTAGTTTCTGGTGAGAACTCTCTCGCCGGCTTGTGGACGGCCGCCTTTTCACTGTGCCCTCACGTGACAGAGAGAAAGAGAGACAGCAAGCTCTCTGGTGTTTCTTCTTATAAGGGCATTCATCTCATCATGGGCCCCCACCCTCATGGCTTCACCTACCCTACTTACACCCAAAGGCCCCATCTCCAAATGCCATCACACTGGGGGTCAGGGCCCTGTGTTCTTCAGGGGGAGGTCACACCAGGAGCTCAGTGGGGTGAGGCCTGGACAGTGGCCCAGTGGTGGGCCCAGGCCTCATTCTCATGTCCAGGGAGCAAGGGGCACGTGCAGGTGTGGCTGAGGAGGAGAATGGGGTGGCCAGGAATATCAGAGCTTGCGTGAGGCACACACAGTGTGGTCCACTCTCTGTGCTGCTCCCACTCTCTGTGCTGAAGACCTTTTGTGACCCAATTCATTCTGCACTGATACTTGCATAAAAGACAATAAAAATGAATTACTGGGAAAATAATAATAGTAAAAAAGGTATATGACACACAAGCCCTAATTCTTCGTTGTTAGATTCAACCAACTTAAAATCACTCTGTCAAATTACTATGAAGTTTCTGAGTGTCACTTTCAACTTCTATACTCATATTATTACAGACCTGTAAACAGATGTGGACCACATCAGTCCATGCTTTGTATAGCTCTGCCCTATAGTATTTTCTGTTAATGAAAACACTTCATAGAATTGTCTACTCAGAGGATTTGTCCTGCATTTCAAATGCTCTAAGGGGAGCTGGAAAAGGCAGCAGGAATCCTTGAAACCTTGCCTTTCACATGAGAGAATGCATGCAAGATTGCATGGACAACAGCAGAATTCCAAATAATTTATGGAAATACTCCCTCCTCAAGGAGTAGAACATGACTCCCCACCCCTTAAGTGTGGGCTATGCTGAATGACTTGCTTCCAAAGGGTACAGTCTGGAAGTGGGGGAAATATGAAAGTACCTTTGCAGTAGAGAAACCTGGCAAACATCTCTTAGCCAGGTGATCACGTAACATCATCATTGGGAAGTCCAGTCACAACAGACCCTTGATGTGTGGTGTTGAGAATGGCACTTCCCCTCAGTGGTCTTTCTCCCCAAAGCCCATAATCCCAGTCTAACCAAGAGAAAAGCATCAGACAAACTCAAATTGAGAGACAGTCTACAAAATACCTGACCAGAACTCCTCGAAACTGTCAGTCATCAAAAGCAAGGAAAGTTTGAGAAACTGTCACAGCCAACAGGAGCCTAACAAGACGTGATGACTGAATGAAATGTGGTGTTCTAGTGGGTGGAACTGTGTCCCCAAAGAGTATGTCCAGGTCCTAACCTCTGATTCCTGTGAATGCGACCTTATTTGGAAATAGGATCTTACAGATGCAATTCGGTATCTCAAAGTGAGACCATCCTGGATTTAGATGGGCTCTAAATCCAATTACTGGTGTCTTTATAAGAGAAAGGAGAGGGAGATCTGAGACACACAGGCACAGAGACGCACAATGAAGGCCATGAAAAGATGGAGGCAGAGACTGGAGGTGTCAGCTCCAAGATGTAGCCCGCCATAGTGACAAGCCAGGGGACACCTGGAGCCACCAGGAGCTGGACAGGGCATGGAAGGATTCTCCCTTAGAGCCTTTAGAGGGAGCGTGCCCTACAGATTTCAGACTTCTGGCCTCCAGAACTGTGAGAGAATACATTTCTGTTGTTTTAAGCCACCACGTCTGTGGTAATTTGTTACTGCAGCCCCAAGAAACCAGTACAGGTGTCCTGGATGGGGTCCTGGAACAGAAAAATGACATTAGGGAAAAACAAATGAAATCCAAATAAAGTGTGGAGTTTAGTTAATAACATATTAATATGGGCTTATTTGTTGCAAGAATGTACCATAGTGAGGTAAGATGTTAACAATAGAGGAAACTGGATGAAGGTTATATGGGAACCCTGTATTATTCGTGCAGCCTATTTGTAAATCTAAAACTATTCTCAAATTTAAAAGTTTATTTTAAAAACTGCATGGAAAAAAACCTGCATTGACACAGATGCAGTGTAATTTGTGATTCAGCCTGTGGGGGGCTCCATCCTAGACATGCGTGCACCTCAGTAGGCAGCCCACCAAGGTCTGCAAGTTGCCCACTGGGCTCCATTTACTGCCTTCCCAGCACTTCTTCCCATGGCCCTGCTGTCCCTGCTGCTGTCCCCTCACTTTAATTCAAGTGCATGCCTTCAGCTGATTATGAATCAGTCCCGACCTCTTTAAACCATGTGAAGAGCATCATCTGCTTGAAATTACTTTTGACTCAGAATTAGTGAGCCCTGAGTTTGGACAGGACCCCAAACATCACTTTGAGGGTGTCTGCCCCTCCCAACTTTTCTGACAAGTTTTAAGCCCCCTTCATGGAGGGGCTCTGTCACCATGCTTTCATGTTTGAATCATGAGACTCCACCCCATGACCATCGCTCATTAAACCAAGACTGAACACCTGACTCAGAGGAAGCCAAATCCATAGTCTTGCCAATCACCTTTCAGATTCTTGGGAAAGAATTTGAACTAAAAAACCCAGAAACAGAGAGCTGGGCACTGAGTCACTGAGAGGGGGCTGGCTTGAAGCTCGTCTCATTCTCATACTTCCTGCAACCTAGTTGCTCAGCTTTTCCTCAGATTCAATGTGAGCTGAGTTCTTTCCAAAAATCCCCTCTAACCTGAGCTAATGGGAGAGGTTCCTCTTACTTTGTAATCAAAAGGATACTGCCTAGGATAGCCATTTTGTTAAATTTCCCATTCTGCTTGGAACCAAGTGGTCATTCATCATTTGCTTGAATACCATCAGCACAAGAATCTCACTACCTCTCCATGCAACTTTGTAAGAAGGTTCTTTTCGATTTTGCTTCAAAACGTGTTCCCTTTCATCCCAGTGTTGCCATTCTGTGCTATTCAGAACAAGGCCCATCTCATGTGTGTATCTTTGTTGTTCTTTTTTTATTTACTAAAGCAATACTTGCTCGTTATTTTTTAAAAGTCAAATCTTGGGGCCAGCCTAGTGGCATAGTGGTTAGGTTCACATGCTCCGCTTCGGTGGCCCGGGGTGCGCAGGTTTGGATCCCAGGCTCGGACATATGCACCACTTATCAAGCCATGCTGTGGCAGGCGTCCCACATATAAGATAGAGGAAGATGGGCATGGATGTTAGCCCAGGGCCAATATTCCTCAGCAAAAAAGAGGAGGATTGGCAACAGATGTTAGCTCAGGGCTAATCTTCTTCACCAAGAGAAAAAAGTCAAATCTTATGGAAACCGTATAAAAGTATTCTAATCATTTTCCACGTGACAGTCTTTCAACTCTTTGAAGATGGTGACCATCCAGGCTTCCCTTCTCTGAGCTGGGAACCCTTAGTTCTTTCAGCTGTTTCTCCCATAGAACATAATAGTTCCAAAATTTGCCCTAGACCTGATTCTTAGTTGTTCTGCACTCGTATGCAGGCAGTGCATGAGTCATGAGCAAGTCCAAGGCTGAAGCCAGAACACAGGGTGGTAAGTGTGGGAGATCAAAATTGGCCACCCTGTAATATATCTCTTTACCTTGATTATTTTCTCTGATGGATATTTGACCTCCCCCAAACTGCGTAAAGAATTTAACATAGAAGACCTGTTTCAGGAAGGAGCCACTATCATATGATGGCTGGAATATAATGTAAAATAGATGTTACAATAGAAAAGGCACCACAAGCCCATCTTATCAAAAATTTTGTCTCTCCCAGGCCACATTCTCTAGGTGGCCCTGCAAAGAGTTACCAGACAAACACTTACATTTATAAGGGAAATCTCCATTTGTAAAGGTATCTCCCTCTCTGTATAGGGAAGAGGGGGGGATGGCCTTATCTGTGGAAACTCTTATCAGCACTGAAGGAGAGGACTTAAAACTGCATACCCTCGATTACTGTAATTTCTGTCTCCCTTCTGTCTCCCTCCCCACCCCCAACATCCTCCTTTGTCTTTAGCTGAAGATAGTATTTAAGACGAGAATCTCTGCCATTGTGTTGAGAAACTCAGTTTCCCTGGTTTCTCCCATGTATACATGTTATTAAACTTGGTATTATTTTCTCCTGCTAACCTGCCTTTTAATTATTTCGCCAGCCATAAGAACCTTAAGGGAAAGGGCGGAGGGGGATTCTCCCTCTTCTCCGACAGAAGTATGATCTCGTGGGTGTAACCAAGGTGATGTGGTATGACTAAAGACTGGATATAGCCTTGGGAGGTATTTAAAAGAGGCAGACCTGTTAGGAAGGAAGAGTGTGGAAAAGCTACCTGCCTCTTCAGAAATCCTCAAAGCTGAGGGCTTGCGTGTTGAGGGTGAAACTCGAGGAGGAGTTGTCACAGAGGAAGAGAATAGGAGAAAGTCCTGGCCC